AGGTGCAGGGATGGAATTCTATCCCAACCAAAACCAGTTGGCACAGAGGGAAGGAGGAGGTCAGGACTCCCTGGGAGGGTCAGCACTGGATTGATGGGACACCAAGTGCTCCTTTTCAAAGATTTGAGCTTTTAATCTTATTTTGAGTTCTATATCCGAACCTGTAGGCTGCGCATTCTAAATCTTTATTTTTCTTCTTGCTTAGCTTGAGATGGAGAATCAGCACCTGAAAAGCTGTAATCAGTACCTGGTGGAGCAGGTGGGAGCCCTCCAAGAGGCACTGGAAGGTAGGCAGGCCAGGTGGGCATGTGTGTGTGGTGGGTGTGTGGTGGAATGTGGGGCTGAATCAAGGAAGCTCTCAATGAATATGCCTGTTTTTTCCCCAACACAGTTCTTCGGATGGCACCACAGGGAGCCCCAGAGCAGGATTCTGTCCCTGCAGGGCCAGGAGCCCACCCTGTGGGGCAGGACAGTGGTCTCCAGGTCCAGGGTTTGAAAGCAGCTATGGCTGCACCTTCTCCAGGTGCCTTGCAGAGCACCGACTCTGTTTCTAAAGCAAGAAACCCCTTAGAGGACTCTAGTTCCAGTGTGGTCCACTCTGCGGAAATAGCAGAGGCCAAGACCCTTCAACCTCATCTGGGAAAAGAGGGCTCTCCCAGCCAGCTGTGTGTGAAGCCACGCACCCCCAGACACGGGTCAGCTTCCTGGGGTGCAGGCCTGGACACTGCTCAGGGAGGGATGCTTCCTGGGACCAAGACTTCTGCCAGGGAAGGTGGCCCCGGCAGCAGTCTGACCCTACCAAAGGTACGGGCTCCCAGCACCCCCCAGGACAGCATCCAAGTGGCCAAAAGGCACCACAGCCAGCCCCAGGTGGGCCCTGGGCACTTTGACCATGTGGTGAGCATTGAGATTGGGGCCCTCTCAGCCCTGCACCCCTCTGGCCTTCCTGAGCTGGAGGCCAGAACTGAGTTCCGGGAGGAACCAGAGAAGATGGAGATGGAAGAGCCACCCCCAGCAGGGAAGAAGGAGGAAAGAGAGAGCCCAAAGGCTGCCAGAGCTGTGCTGGAGGAAGTGGAACTTAGGAACAAGCCACCCACACCTCCCCTGCACCGGTTTCCATCCTGGGTAAGAGGTGACCTGGGGCTGGGCAGAGGGCAGAGCTAATAATAGGAATACAGTTTATTGTGCATGTGCATGCGCTGGGCACAAGATGAGGCTGGCATTGTCATAGCAACACTGGGACCACCCAACTAGTGAGGGGAGAGCCAGGATCTGAGATAATGTGAATGGTGGCTGGCTATCATTTCCTGAACACTCACTGTGTGCCACACGCCAAGCTGGGTGCTCTGGGCAAATTTTCTCATTTCATCTTTGGGACTCTNGGGCAGAGGGCAGAGCTAATAATAGGAATACAGTTTATTGTGCATGTGCATGCGCTGGGCACGAGATGAGGCTGGCATTGTCATAGCAACACTGGGACCACCCAACTAGTGAGGGGAGAGCCAGGATCTGAGATAATGTGAATGGTGGCTGGCTGTCATTTCCTGAACACTCACCGTGTGCCACACGCCAAGCTGGGTGCTCTGGGCAAATTTTCTCATTTCATCTTTGGGACTCTTTGCGGTGGTATGGTGTGGTGAAGAGCACAGGTCCCAGAATCCAACCACTAGGGCTGAATTGCTAACTATGTGGCCCTGCGCAAGTTACTAAAGCCTGTGCCTCAGTTTCCCTATCTGTAGAATGGGGATAGTTGTAGCTACTTTCAGGGTAGTTATGAGGATTAAATGTGTTAATATTTAATAAATACTTGTAGCAGTGGTTCACAGTAGGTATGTAAGTGTTGGCTGTTTCTATTTCTGAGCCTTAGCTTCCTAACTTGTAATACTGGATAAAGTGACATGATGTTTGTGGCATTGCTTCAGGATCAGTGATCTGGGGAGGGGATGGGGTACAGATGAGACCTGACTAGCCATGCATTAGTCTTTGTAGAGCTGGGTGCTGGGTACATGAGGCTGTTCTTTATACTACTGTCTCTACTTTTGTGTCTGACATTTTCCATGATAAATAACAATAACAAGTTAAAATAACGAGGGGACAGGCTGTAAAAGTGACATGGCACAGGTCATTGTTGAGGATGATGTACAGGTATCTAGGGCTTAGTACGGAGCCTGGCGTATGGGAAAGATCCTTACCTGTACAAGGAGTTAGGTGCTGTTTCTCCCTTTCACAGATTAGAAGACTGTTGTCCCCACAGACTTAGCTACTTGCCCAAGGTCATGCAGTAGTGAGTGAGGGAGCCAGGCCTTACGTGTAAGTCCAGCTGCCTCTGAAGCCCACCTTGAGCCTCACTGCCTCTTAGGGGACATTGCCAGAGCAGAGGTCAGCCTGTCACTCATGGTCAGACCCCTGAATGCTGCTACGGTGTGAGGCAGTGCTGTGGGGGATGTCTAGTGTTGCCTGAGGGTGGTACCACACCGTCCCGCTGCTTGGGAGACCTGTATCTTCAGCAGCACCTTTGGGGTCCCCTTTTGAAATGCTTGTTTCAGGAGGCTCACAGCTCCAGGCTTGTTGACTACATCTTTAGCAGTGACTGCTGACCAGCTGCCGATTGCCCCAAGGGTCCCCACAAGACTGAAGACACAGCCAAGCCTTGGAGTGGCCCAGAAGGAAGGCTAGGAGATGGGAAAGGGCTGCTGACCCTCTTGTTCATTGTTGTCTTGCTCAGGAGTCATAAAGCAGAGGTGGGAGTGAGGGAGCATTCAGGAAAGGCATGTGGCAAGAGGGCTCAGCAGGTGTCACCAGAGAGAAGTGTTGCCCACTTCAGTCATTTTGCCAAAATCCAGCCATCTGCTGTTTGACGGTGAAGGGTTCTTGTGTTGTGCTTGTAGCTGTTGGGGAGGGGGTGGTGGGATGCTCCAGATGACATTTTCCCCATGTGAACATCAGCCAATCTCTGGGGATGAAGGTATGAAGGGGCAGTATCAGGTCTTCCCACAGACCCTCCCTGCTCTCCACTGAGCCCTGGGGACCCAAGAATCAGCCAAAACAATTTAAGGAGAATTTGTCTCCTGTTTGCAATCCTCTTTGTAACTTGCTCCTGGGGAAAACAGGCACAATGCCAGCTGCAACTGAGGTCCCTGGGGCAGGATCACTCCTGTCCACAGGGAGCTTAGGAAACCACAGTGGCCAGAGAGCCCAGCCCCTCTCTCTCTCAGGTGGCACCAACTGGGCAATAACCAACTGAGTGGAAAACAAAGACCAGGAATTCAGAGAAGTACATTTCTCAGTCCGAGGGAGTCAGATATACTTATCTGCTTTTAGAGTTTGTAGAGCCCTATTTCTGTTACTCCTTAAAACAAGATTGTGAGTTAGGCATTAGATAACCTCTTGTCAAACAGACCTATGTTTTGTTTAACCTAAATCTCTCAGGCTTTAGTTTCATTTCCTCTGTGAAGTTAGAGGCCTGTCCTTGGTTGAATTCCATGACCACTACAGACAGAAATAATCTTTTTTATGCCTAATTTTACTGTTTGGACTCCATGTACCAGCCCTTGGTAAGCACAGGAATTCCCTGCCCTGCGGCAGTGCCCCTCCTTGGTCACCCTTCCTCCCCGCCCTCTAGCTCTCGCCCTGCCCACCCTCCAGTTACCTCAGCAGCTTATCCCGGCACTCACCAGTTCCTCGCTCTCTCCCCCAGCTGACCTAGTGCTGCTGCTCCCCTCTAGGGCAGCACCCCAATCTGCGTCACTCCTCCCTTCCAGTCCCAGCCCCCAGCCCAGCTGGTCCTGCAGGTGAAAGGACATCCAGCCACCTCCCCAAGCTGGCCTGGCATTCCTTGGAAGGCTGGCTAACCTTCCCCAGTCAGCCTTTGTGACTCACTGGTCACCTGAGCGGGCCTTTGTTTTCCCTTAGGGTAAGTGAACAGATATGGAAAAGCACAGGCAGAGCCTTGGGGCTGTTTGGGAGCAGTCAAAGCCATTTGATTTAAAAAGCTCCCCAGGCTTGTAGGCCTGCCTAAGATCCAAGGACTTCCTTGGGGTGGGCATTCTTCTGTACTGGAGTTCTGGAGTCTCCTTGGCTAAATTGGCTTTGTAGGTTGACCCTGAAACCTAATCACAATATAACATTATTACTCCAAGGACTTCCTTGGGGTGGGCATTCTTCTGTACTGGAGTTCTGGAGTCTCCTTGGCTAAGTTGGCTTTGTAGGTTGACCCTGAAACCTAATCACAATATAACATTATTACTGTAGGAAAAAATGTGTCCTAGGTTCCCAAGAATTGGCTTACAAAAGAGCATGCCATCTGGGGCAACCAGTCTTGAGTTTGGCCAAGGAGGTGATTAAACAGCTCAACTCCTAAAAAACAAAACAAAACAAGAGCACACCCTCACTGTGTGGCTCTGCCTTCCTGATTATCAGCACCCTCAGCTTCCGGGGGTGAGATCCTGGGACCAAGGGTAAAGGCAGAGACGTGGGTAAAGATTCAGGGAAACAGGTCACTGACCTGCTCTCCTCTTGAACCTCCTTTGCCCCAAGGGGAAGGGTGGAGGCAAGTGAGGGAACAGCAACTGTTAGGCACTGATTATATTCCAGGTGTTAAAAGGTAAGTAGTAGTATGTCCATTTTAGAGCTGAAGAAAATGAGGCTCAGAAATGAAGTAACTTGGGCCGGCCCGGTGGCGCACTGGATAAGTGCGCCGCTTGGGAAGCGCGGCGGCGCTCCCGCCCGAGGGTTCGGATCCCACATACAGACCGGTTCCCGCTCACTGGCTGAGCGAGGCGCGGGAGCAACACCGAGGGTTGCAATCCCATTGCCGGTCCCCGGTCCGGTACGGGGGCAACACTGAGGGTTGCGATCCGTTGCCGGACACGGAAAAAGACAAAAGACAAAAAAAAAAAAAGGAAATGAAGTAACTTGCCCAGTAACTGACCTACCCTGGCTGTGGACTTGGGTCTGCCCACCTCCCAAGCCATCCTTTTTCCTCCACAGCCTGGAGGGGCTGGTCTGAGCACAGTCCTGTGCCCTGACCCTCCTGGGGCCTCTTGATTGCAGGAGAGCCGGATCTATGCGGTAGCCACTTCAGGCATGCGGCTCTCTGACGCATCTCCCAGAAGTAATGCTGGCTGCGGTGGTGAGTCCCAGGAAGACCTGAAGGGACCACACGCCCATGGTGGGCAGGGAGGGCGGGGAGGGTGGAGAAGGAAGAGAAGACTGAGCAACACCCAGGGCTGGGGTCATCCGGCACATGAAGTACATGTGAAATCAGCAGCAAGTGCTACCTGGGAGGGAAAAGGGAGCCCTGCAGATTCAGGTGATCACTGGGCTGGGTGGGAGGGGGAGTGATCAGGGTTGTAGCCAGTCATGGAGCTAGAGGGGACCTTAGAGGGGTCCTCCCATCCAGCCTCCCACCTGCATAGGGTTCCATCTGCCTCACAAGGGCTGTGGGTGGGAGGAACCCCAGTGACCTGATTTAGGTGAACCCCACCTACTGGCTCTTGAGTAACAGGCCAGCCACAGAGTTCCCACAGCGACAGGAGAGCCCACAGTTGCACGATTTATAATGCATGTCAGCAGGAGTGGGACATGCCACAAGCCTCAGGAAGGATAAAATGGCTAAAGGGCAAGACTTTTGGATTCCATCGTGATGGATCCTTTACTGATCACAGGAATCATGAATGGGGAGCTGCCTGGTTAGCTCAGTTGGTTAGAGCATGGTCCTCATAACACCAGGGTCTGGGATTGATTCCTATATAGGCCAGCAAAAAAAAAGAATTATGAATGGGGATCCCACCCTACCTGAGATTCACTTCCCCCAGACCCCTTACCGGGTCACAACACCTGAATTAATCTCATCCCTCTTTTTCCCCCTCAGCTTCAAGCCCTCCTGCCCTTGGGTCCTCTGGGCCTTTCTCTGGCCTTGTCTACAAGAATGTCACCGTGCCTGTCTACACAGCACTGAAGGGGGTAAGAAACTGCTGTGCAAAGAGTGGGTGTCCCCTGGTCTCGGCATGCAAAGACTGGGCTGGGGCTCTAGGGCCAGGCTTCTGCACACAGTGACCTTCGTCAGGGAGCTCAGCTCACCATATGTCATTTTGTTTTGTTGTTTATCTTTATTCAATTTTTATTATAAAAATTCTACATTTATAAAAATTTGAATCAATATGCATGTGGGCAAAATAAGAAGGTAAAAGTAAAACCCATGCCTGCTCCACCTCTCCTTCCCATCTTCTTTCATGTCTGTTTCCCTCCCCAGGTCCCCAACAGCAGTGGGGCTCCTTCCAGAATCGTTTATCTGTGTTCAAATATTTTTCCCCATAACATCACTACCTATTTTTTTTTTTTTAAAGATGACCGGTAAGGGGATCTTAACCCTTGACTTGGTGTTGTCAGCACCACGCTCACCCAGTGAGCTAACCAGCCATCCCTATATGGGATCCAAACCCGTGGCCTTGGTGTTATCAGCACCGCACTCTACCAAGTGAGCCACGAGCCGGCCCACTACCTATTTTTTTAATAAAAAATCAGATATAACTGCAATGTGATATTTTCATACATGTTTTTGTTTCTTTTGTTATTGGTTTTTGAATCATCATAGAATGATTGATAAAAGTTTTTATCGAAGAATAAAAAACCAAAAATGAAATTTCCTCTCATATTGCTTTTCCCTAATTCCTAACTCCAAAGGCAACTATCATTAACGGTTTGGTGTTTATTCTGTAAGGCCTTCAGATGCATTTACAAATAAGAATAAAAAACCAAAAATGAAATTTCCTCTCATATTGCTTTTCCCTAATTCCTAACTCCAGAGGCAACTATCATTAACGGTTTGGTGTTTATTCTGTAAGGCCTTCAGATGCATTTACAAATTCTCTCTCTCTCTCTCTCTCTCTCTCTCTCTCTCTCTCACACACACACACACACACACACACACACACACGCACGCGCGCGCGCGCACACGTCAGGTGTCCTTCCGTACTTCCTCCTCTTGTGCTGTCCAGCCCTTGGCACAGGCGTACCGTAACTACCTTAAGCTTTTTTACACACACACACACACACACATACACGCGCGCGCGCGCGCACACGTCAGGTGTCCTTCCATACTTCCTCCTCTTGTGCTGTCCAGCCCTTGGCACAGGCGTACCGTAACTACCTTAAGCTTTTTTAAATATCTGTGCACTTATATATACATATTTCTGTAGGATAGAGTTCTAGAGGTGGATTTTCTGGGCAAATTATATACAGGTTTTAATTTTTGACTGGTACTGCCAAATTACCTTCTATCAACACTTTACAAACTAGAGTATTTTTTTTCCCATATTCTCTCCATGCTCTCACCAACACCACAGTAATCAGTCTTTTTAAACGTTTGCCAGACAGGATGATCTCTCATTGTTTCAATGTCCCACACTTGGCCTGTGACGTGGCTTTCCCGCCCCCTTGTGGCAGAGAGCAAGGCTCACAGCAGTCAGGTGTTCAGTCTGGATGGGGCGGTTCCTTTGGGGACCACAGAAGATATGTGGGGTATGTGGGGGAGGAAGGCCCAAGGAGAAGCCTGGAGGTAAGGACACAGGAGTGAGGTCAGGAAGGGACCTTACACTGTTTGGAACAGTTGTCTATTCAGTGCCCCGGCTGAGTAATGGCCTTGTTGCCCCAGACAGGCTGTGTTGGTCATACCCTGGTCACTTGGAGCTGGAGAGTGGGAGGGGGCTTGCTTTGCAGCCTGAGCTGCAGTTGGGGAGGGGGCCTGTCTTGCAGAGAGCCACGCAGATCAGCACTGTACCCTTTGTGGATGAGTCTTCTGGGTCTGACGATGATTGCAGCTCTCAGGCCAGTTTCCGAACTTCCATTCCCTGCTCTGAGTCCAGGAAGACCAGCGGACTAGGCAGCCCCCGGGCCATCAAGAGAGGTGCAGAGAAGGGGGAACAGGGGTAGGGTAGAGCAACAAGGGGCCCCTCCCCTCTTCCATGGTCATTTGTATGCAGGGGTCCCTGCTTGATGTGTGCCCGTGATCCCCAGCAGACCAGACTCGGGGGTCCTGGGTGGGCATTGAGGGCTGTGTGAGCTGGGGGAGGTGTGAGACCTGGGCCTTGACTCCTCCTCCCATGGCTAGGTGTCTCCATGTCCTCACTGAGCTCCGAGGGTGACTACGCCATCCCCCCGGACGCCTGCTCGCTGGACAGTGACTACTCAGAGCCTGAGCACAAGCTGCAGCGCACCTCAGCCTATTCCACTGATGGGCTGGGCCCAGGCGGGGTAAGCTGGGAGCACAGTGCACACCCTGCTGGGGCCAGGAACAGGGAGGGAGCAGACCTCCAGCAGAGGCTGCCCAGGGCCATTAGCACAAGACACGGTGGCAGCTGTGTGAGGCAAGGGTGCCTGGGGTTGTGGAGAGAGGCGGGATGTGGAGAAGGGGCTGGGGAGTTAAACAGTTATGGAGTCAAACACACATTACCCCATGAGGAAGGAGGGAAGCAGCCCAGTGAGCTCCTGAGCATACAAGGACTGGCCCATCACTGAGAGCACACAGTGGCCCAGCAGGCCCCACAAGGGGTGTGACATACAGGACCTTGTTTCATCTCCATCCTGAACCACCAGCTAACATTTTATGGAGCCCTTCTAGCTGGCCAGTACAGGGATCTGAACACTTGACCTTGGTGTTATAACACCGTGCTCTAACCAACTGAGCTAACCGGCCAGCCCCTGCTCCATGCTTTTCATGCATTGTCTCATCTGTCCTCACAATGCTTTTGAGATTATATCCCCATTTTGTGGATGAGAAGAGTGAGGCTCAGATATGCTGCTATATGCCATTGCCAGCAGGAAATCCAGATCTACCTAACCCCCGGCCCTTGCTCCACACCACTCCACTGCTCTGTCTTCACCTTCCCTGCTCCCTGACCCCCACCCAGCCTGGCTGTCATACCCATTGTTCCCCAGACCCACTGCACCCTCTCCCCTTTCTGTGTTGCTAGGATGGCCTTCTTCCTCCTCTCACCTTTCCTTCAGAGGCCATTCAGGTGCGCCTCTTTCCCGAAGCCTTCCTGGCCAGCCTCTCCCTCCTACAGCCCCTGATCTGCCATCTTTTCATGGCAAGGTCTTCCCCAGCCAGCATGGGAGCCCTTCCACAGCAGCATCACCCATGCTTTTAGTCCTCTCTGAATCCTTGGTGGGGCACATTTCCATGGAAATACACGTAGTAGGTACTCAACTTTCTTTTAAAAAATATTGATAACAAAGCAGTGACTCAGCTGGACCATCTTGGCCTGGGTGATATCTAGGAGCCCCAAGTGATTTCCCTTTTCTGTTCCCCTCTGTCCCCTACACTCTCTCACCCCTCAGGAGTCACTGGAGAAGTCGGGTTACCTGCTGAAAATGGGGAGCCAGGTGAAGACATGGAAGAGGCGCTGGTTTGTCCTGAGACAGGGACAAATTATGTACTACAAGTCCCCGGTGAGACCCTCCTCCCTCAGGGCTGTAGTCAAAAGGACCCCACCCCAGACCCAGACCTGTGTGAGAGGGGCTCGAGGAGGGAAGCATGGCCCAAGGCCAGAGGGCAAGGGTCTGGCAGGCACAGAGAGTCAGCCTGAGGCTTTGAGCCATACACGGCGGCCATGAGGCTGGTCACTGGTTCTCACAGTGAAGTCAGGCACCGAGGCAGTCAAAAGCAGTTCTAGGCCAGTTGGCTTGGCAGTTCCTTCTTCCTTCAGAAGCTGTTTATTTCCTCTTATGCCTGGTCCTGTAAAAGAACTGTTCCCAGACTGCCCTCACATCATCTGGATTGTTCTGTGAGCGAGCTCATGACCTCCACCTCCGTCCTCCACTGTTTGGAATTGAGGAGATTCGGGTATTGGGAACTAGTTTGACAGGATCTCCCTGGAGAACCAATTTTAATGTTTTAAAGAGGACAAAAAGGCTTCCTCTCTCGTGCAACTCCAGCTAATTGGTAGTGGCTGTGTTGAACACTGTTAAGGATTCTGGTCTTATATCGCTCAGTGAGAAAGCATGCTGTGATTGATTAGTAATGTCTGCAGTGGCACTGGAAAGGACAATAATAGTGATGTATATGCCACTTATTTGCCGAACTTGGTATAATGTATGTAGTAGAAAGAATTTAAGGGCAGTAATAACCTGGTAGCTTCTGACCCAATTGTTTGTTTTTAGTGGCTGGCTGGCATGAGGATCCCAGCCCTGGACCCTGGTGTTTTAACACCATGCTCTAACCAACTAAGCTAACTGGCCAACTCCTGACCCAATTTTAAAGGCTTACTCTGTCCTTTTTGAGGCCTGGGTCATAAGGACCTATGTTCCTAATTATGGCTCCATTTAGCTAGAACCGGAACCTATAACAAGTTACCTATCATCCCATCACCACAAAGCTTGGGAATAACTTTCCTCTTTGCCTGTGATCTGGAGTGAGATATGAGGGTAAATGCTGTGCTCTGGGAAGTCTCTGTACTCTGACCACTTTCCTCCCCATTCCTTTCTCTATAGAGTGATGTCATACGGAAACCTCAAGGTCAAGTGGATCTGAACTCCCATTGCCAAATTGTCCGAGGGGAAGGTGCACAGACATTCCAGGTGAGAGAGAAGAGGTGCTGGGATTGGAGACGGCTATGAGGGAGACAGATGGAGCAGAATGAGCATGAATGAGAGACTTTACATCCACATACTAGTTTGTGAGTATGAGAAAGGAAGAGGAGACAGGATGTGAGATGGAGTGAAGGAAAAAAGACTGAGAAAAGTATGCAGGGGGAAAGGAGGAGGAGGGAGCAGCAAGGTAGGAAGAGGGAAGGCCTGGTGGGTTCAGCGATTTTTCTACCTTGGAGCCATGTCCTGGTCCATTCTCCTGTCTTGCCACCTCTGGCCCAATTCCTCACCCTCCACAGCTTATCTCTGAGAAGAAAACCTACTACTTGACGGCTGACTCGCCCAGCCTCCTGGAGGAGTGGATCCGAGCACTACAGAGCCTGCTGAAGGTGCAGGCCACTGGGCCTCCAGCCCTGCCTCGGGGTGGCACCAAGCCCACTGTGAAGGGCTGGCTGACCAAGGTACGGGCTGGGCTGATGGGGAGGAATGTGGGCCCCCTGAGAGTCAGAGAGCTGGGAGTGGGAGTGCCAAGGGGTGGTGGGCTCCCTCCTTTCTCCAGGAGCTTCCTCACAGTGATTAGCTGGTTGGCCCTCAAACATGGTCTGACCTCACAAGGCAATAGTAAATGATTCCCTAGAAACAGAGATCAGGGTTGTGAGAACAACAGCTACTGTCAAGAAAGGGGACAGAAAGGAATGGCTTGAATCCCCTCCCCAACCTTGTACCCACCATACCTCATTATTAACAGTGGGAAGAAGAGACTCAGGTGAGGTAGGTATGGCCATTGGAAGACTTACGGTATCTGAGGACTGCCCTAAAGACATTTTAGTTAGGGATCTCCTGGTTGTAAGGACCAGAGAAGCACATTAACTGGACCAGAACACCATCAGGAACCAAAGCAACTTGTGTTCAGCAAGCTCAGTGCTCACAGGCTCTCTCTGCCTCTGCTTCACCATTGAGTTCGTGTTTATGCCATGCTCCTCTGCCCATGTGCAGTTTCTGTTCCTCATGATTTACAGCTGCCACAGGCTTCAGCTTGCTAAGGCCCTTACCCGCCTCACAGCATCTTAAAAACTTTGGCCTCTGCCAGCTAATAAGTTCTTGTTTTCGTATTACTGGAAGGGGTGTCTCATTGGCCTGGTTAATCTTTTAGTGGCAGGTCATAGGTCACTTAGTAACCCAAGTATGGCTGGGGTTCCACATGAAACACACCATGGGACCTTTGCTGTGAAAAGGGTGGTTCCATCAATGGGGAGTCTGAATGGCATCTCCACTAAGGATGTGAGTTTGGAGGTCAAATTTGTCTCCCTGTGGCTTCTCTTTGCCAGTCTTGGATTTATTTCCAGGGTCACCTGGCTGTAATAATGCTAGTTCATTTCTGTCTTACAGGTAAAGCACGGCCACTCCAAACTGGTTTGGTGTGCTCTGGTTGGGAAAACTTTTTACTACTATCGGAGCCATGAAGACAAGGTACTTCCTTGGCCTCCTGATGGCACCCACTCTCCCACGTCCCACAAACATTACTGTGGCTCCATGTCCTGTTGAAAGTCCCGAGCTTTACCTCCTACCCCACCTAACCCCACAATAAGTATAAAAGCCAGCTGCCTGGATCCTTCCAAATGCATGGCCCAGCATGCACGGCCAGCAGCATGCATGGCCAGCACACTCTGCCTGTATGGTCTATTGCTGCTTCTCCACACAAGCCTCATTCTGCTCCCAGCCTGGCTGGGATGCTGCCGTCTCCACTGCCCCATCCTGTCATCTGTCCACATCCATGATTCCCAGGGCTCACAGGGAGGAGACTCCCCCATCCACTGCTGGCTCTCCTGTTCATGGAAGGCTCTTGTCTGCAGCGACCCCTAGGCCGCCTGCCTGTGCAGGATGCACACATAGAGGAAGTAGATCGATCCTGTGACTCGGATGAGGACTATGAGGCTGGAGGAACAGGACGATTGCTCTCCTCCCACTGCACGCTGGTGATCCACCCCCCAGAGCACAGCCCTACCTACCTCCTCATTGGCACCAAGCATGAAAAGGTAAGGGACGGGGCTGGGCCTCCATGGCCAGGCTTGGACCCGTGATTCTGATCTGCCCTTCTTTCCTCTGAGCTTCCCAAAATCTGAGTTTATTTCCCTCTTGGACACTTTGGCAACTAATATTCTCTGAATGGGAATATTCCTTTATGTTCAGTTCACCCCCAGTGGCCAACATTTCTTCACTGGGGCCATCAAATAGAACCTCAAACTTGGGAAATTGGATTCATGTTCACCTGATCTTGAGTCTTTCATCTTAGAGACTGTGGCCTTAACTCATGCCAAATGAACTAGTTGAACCCCATCATGGGTTTGGCCCCTTCAAGGAACCCTCCTTGGAGCTCTTGCCTCCACTCTTCCCACCCCATCCTTATCCGATTGCTTTCCACCCTTTTCCAGGATACGTGGCTTTACCACCTCACAGTGGCTGCAGGTGGCAGCAGTGCCAAGGTGGGCACTGCCTATGAGCAGCTCATTGGAAAACTGATGGATGGTGAGGGAGACCCAGGTAAGGCAAGGGTAGCTGTCACTGCTTAGGTTGGAGGGTGGCGGCTGGGTGATTATTGGACAAGAACCCAAAGGAAGCACCATGGTACCCTGAAGGTGTTTTAAAAACATCAAAGCCAAAGAGGGGAGTTCCCATCCCAAGGTCCGGGGCCCCTCTGTCTCTGGCCAAGATACTGAGGTGACCACTCTGTATCTGGGGGAGTTTATTGGGGAAGCAGACTTTCCAGTGACCTAGGTAAATGTTTTACTTTGTTCAATCTGCAGCTTTGCTGTCTGGGCAGAGGGCTGAGGAAGAAGTTAACTGGTTAATGTATAGTTAGAGTTTGTTAATAAATGATGCATAAACTGGTATCAGGCTAAACTAAGCCTGGGATGTTCTGGGGTCTTTGTTTTGCTATGATACTCAGGCCTCTGAGGGACTAATGGCACATACCACACACATCCCTTTACTACTGCTCCAAGGCTTATTTCAGGCTGATATATATGGTCTTCCATCTAGACCTGACACAGTAAGGAAGAGGCTTCCCCCTGCACACACATGCTAGCACTAGACACCCACAACCTCACACACTCACCCCTATTGCAGTTCCATGAGCAAAACGGTGGCCACCTTCCTGTGTAGTTGTGCTTGTGTGTGCTAATTGCAATGCACACCTGCATACACTCTGATAAACCCAGCACAAAGCATGTGTCCCAGACAGTTAAACCACTGTCTTCCACACAATTTAAAGCTGCAGATGGGTGGGAGGTGAGTTATCTGCCCAGTGGTAACTGTGCTGCTCTCTGGTGCTGTGCTTGGGGCAGATTCCCCGCTCTGGAGGCACCCCATGCTGTGCTACAGCAAAGACGGGCTGTACACCTCCCTCACCACCCTGCCCTCCGAGGCCCTGCAGACAGAGGCTGTCAAGCTCTTCAAGGTAAAGTGGGAGTGTCTCCTGGGCCCACCGACAGACAAAGCACACACACGTGCCCAGGCTCTGCCTGGAGCAGCTTGAGCCCACCTTGGTGATACTTGTGATACATGGGGAGGAGACCCACGCAGTTATGGGTAGTCCACAGAGGGATCTGGAGAGGGCAGGAAAGTCCCATAGGGTCCCTACTGCTTCCTCTGTGGCAGGAGTGTCATCTTCTCACCGGGAGGGAGGAAGCTCTGGGACTTCATGCACAAGGCCATGGGAAATACCGGTGAAAACTCTCCATAGAGGAGCTCCCCTCCTTCTGTAGCTAACAGCAGGAAAATCTGGGCTTATGTTGTTTCTAGACTTGAGAGATTCTAACCTATTTCAGAATGTTCTTTGTGCCTGTCTAAATTTTCTGTTTTTTTAAAAATGAATTTGGCTTGCTTATGTAATGGAAACAGTTAAAGAAGAAGAGATTCTATCCCTAAGTAGCCCCTTGCAGCAATCATAGGTGTTCTCAAGCAGTAATAATGCTCCCTCTTAGAAAGCGCTGTCGGTGAACTTGAGCCTCCCTTGAGCTTGGGGAAATGGCCCAGCTTGGTCACCTCCCTGCTTGAAATTGGAAACACCATTTCACTGTCAGAGAGGACAGTAATAAGGGGTTATCGGTCTGCCTGTGCCTACTGTCTTTTCCCTCCCAGTCCTGCCAGCTATTCATCAACGTGCCAGTGGAAGCTGCCTCGGTGGACTACCATGTGTCCCTGGCCCAGACAGCACTACAGGTCTGCCTGGTTCACCCCGAGCTGCAGAGTGAGATCTACTGCCAACTCATGAAGCAAACCAGCTGCCGCCCACCTCAAAAGTACTCCCTCATTCAGGTGGGCATCCCCAGGGGCAGGACAGCTGACAGCAGCCATTGGCAAAGGCTGCCTGGAGGTGGGAAAGGTGGAAGGAGGTGACTGGCAGCCATGCTCTGGCAGCCTCGGTGCTCCCAGCTGCCTCAGTATGGCTGCCCTGTCTGTGCACAGACTGTGTGATTGCCATTCTGGACAAAGCCTGATCAAGTCACCCACATTAGGTTGGGGCTGTGGTTTAGGGAGAGAGCTGAAACTCTGTAGCTCGCGATTGTGAGGGCAGTTGGCGCTGCACACTCAGCACTCTCCTCGTGCTACCTGTGTCCCCTGGCAGTGCTGGCAGCTCCTGGCTCTGTGTGCCCCACTCTTCCTGCCTCAGCATCACTTCCTCTGGTATGTCAAACAGCAGCTCCAACGTCATGCAGATCCCAGGTGAGTGAACACCATTTCCTCTGCAACTATAATATTCCCACCATGCTTAAGAGGGATGAGGGGGAGCCTGGAATAGACCAGATTGCTCTGATATCTGCTCAAGGGCCATGGAGACTTAGCCCATCATTGTGCACACAAATGGGCACGGGGAGCTCTGGGCATGCATAGGCTTCTCTGCACACCAGTCCACGTGTCCATGGATGTTTTGTAGGGGCTCTCATATGAAGCCACATTGCCCCCAAATTGTCCCTAACTGTTCATTCTCTGTTGCCATGTGCTTCTAGCTTCTGGAAAAAAAGTCCATGCTGGCAACCTGCTGCATATAGGTCGTGAAGGACAGACTAATACCCCAGACCAGAGTTTTCAGGGCTTTTCTCACAACCTGCTCCACCTTCAGTTTTGGTCCTGGCTAGGTCTAGGTAGTGACACAGGGTGCCAAGGTGGGAGGTATGAGCAGAATTCCTAGTATTCCCCCTCTTCCTTCTGCTGTCTTTTTAGAAGTGCAACTGGCCAGTATGCCACCTACTGCCAGCGGGCAGTGGAGCGGACCCTGCAGGCTGGGGAGAGGGAAGCAAGGCCGTCCCGCATGGAAGTGGTGTCTGTCTTGCTGCGTAACCCCTTCCACCACTCCCTGCCCTTCAGCATCCCTGTGCATTTCACCAACGGGACTTACCAGGTGAGGAGGCTGCGTGTGTCCCCTGCCCCAAATCTTCTTGTATCACTGTTCTAGAAGAGAACACTCTTAGGCCAGGTAGGTGCTAAGCTTACTTCACCCTGGCAGATTCTTTAAAGGCAAGCCAGCAAAAGGGATGGGCCTAGGATTTGGGAGTGGTTAGTGCCAGTGTGTAGGGGGAAAGGAGCTTAGATCACAAAAGTGCTTCATTGGTGCCTGGAAGTAGAACTTTTGAACCCATTGTATGAACAGAGAAGCTGAGACACTGACCAAGAAGAAAGGGCTCCTAAATGATTGGCAGGGGCCGGCCCGGTGGCGCACTGCTACAGTGCGCCGCTTGGGAAGCGCGGCGGCGCTCCCACCCGAGGGTTCGGATCCCACATACAGACCGGTTCCTGCTCACTGGCTGAGCGGGGCGCGGGAGCAACGCCGAGGGTTGCGATCCCGTTGCTGGTCCCGGTCCGGTACGGGGGCGACACTGAGGGTTGCGATCCGCTGACGGGCACGGCAAAAGACAAAAAAAAAAAAAAAAAAAAA